AGTTTGGAACTGATTTTATGATGAAAGAGTGGAAATAGTGTACAAGAGGCAGTTAAAATATCCAGATTACAGATTCTGTTCTTAAAACACAAACTGCTATTTATATACTATTGTTAAAGTTTTGAAACACCAGTTTGTAAGCTTTTATCCTTAAGGATAATATGTAGAAATCAAGCTGGGATAGTTGCTAACTGACTGGGGGAAAGGTTTAATGGTCAATCAGTTATCAACAGAACTAGGCCTATCTGCTGATTGCTTGAGGAATACATTTCACTGCAAACAACCTGGCTAAGTTGAGGGGGCATCTCAAATGATATGATCCCTCAACGAATCAAAAAAAAAATATGGTGAAGTCATTTTCCTTTTCCTGACAGAAGAAGGTGAAGTTAACCTATTGTAGGAGACTTAAATGCATTTGAAAGAACCCCTGTACATGTACATGATGGCAAATACACACATCTACAGATTATACTGTTCACCCTAATTTCTTTGTTGTGTTGTTAATGGTGATATCTTGCTCTTTGTTGGGAATAAAACATCACCCTAACTATACATAACAATAATTGTAGTGTAACCCAGTTTAGATTTTACAACAGTTAATTGGCATGGTTAATGTTGCAGAACAAATGGTTACCAGGCGAAGTGAGAAGTGAGCTATAAAGTGAAGTGAGAAATGAGCTATAAAGTTGACTGAGAAGTCTTCTGTTATGAAAGCAAAAACAACTTCTCTGATCTTTCCCTTTCCGAGGTAATGACTGTAGATTATGACTTTGAGATGCCCCCCTCGCTGTAGCCAGTAAGTTCTGGCACTGCTGTAACCCAACCCCAACCTTCTTCTTCCATTTATTAAAAATAGGATATAAATTAGGAAACTTCTTCACCGATCATATTTTTAAATGCAAATTACTATTTGCATATTGATGTTTAAATTTCGAAACAGAATTTGGCATCTTTTCATCATAGCACAGTAGGCCCAACTTCACAAAATTAAGCAGTGATATCTTGCTCCAGAAAAGGGTTAATGGTCAGTTAGCTATTAAAACTTGCAGGTGAATGTGCAAGAATTTCTTTGTGCCACAAGCTGATTGGTAGCCATAAGCTTGATTGGTATCAACCACAGGTAAATACTTTTGTAGTTGTTTTACAGCAGTGCCCTACTTACTGGCTACAGTGAGGGGGCATCTCAAAGTAATCTACAGTCATATTACATCTGAAAAATCAGAGGGCGAAGTTGTTTTCTCTTTCATAACAGAAGGCGAATTTTTACACTTCTCAGGCCACTTCCCCTGGTATCCTGTATCCTGGTATCTGACCCCTGTGTGTGTGTATATATATATATATATATATATATATATATATATATATATATATATATATATATAGTGTTTATTGTTGGTCTCACTTCTCCCTGATTAACTCTCACTTCTCCCTGTTTAGCTCCCACTTCTCTCTGTTCTGATCAAAAAGAGAAGTCACTTCTCCCTAAAAGTTAAGTCTAGCTTGACCCCTGGCTACTGGCATTGCTATCAGACAAAAATCCCTCTTTTCCCAAGCCAATTTCATGGTTGAAACAATTACCTGGTCTCTTTTCAGAAACAAAAAACAAATCTGCCAAATCTAAACAAAAAGAAGAAATAAAATAACCAGTTCCCTGAATAATGTGTTGAATGTTAAGAATTTGTTTTACTGTAAGCCAAAAGACAAAAGTAAAATATATCAATGATGATCATTTATGTGAAAATACTGTATGCTGGTAATGTGACTTATATAATTAACTCCTCCCCTCATAGAGTGTATGAATTTTTAGCCCTTTGATATGCATGAAGCAGTTCAGTGTATGTTACATTTAACAGCAATTTTAATCATTTTATGTTTTTGGTACACATATATTATGTATGGAAAGATTTAAGAGTAAAATACAGTCATTATAACTGTATAAATATTTTTCACATAAGAATTTTGTATGCACTTTAAAATCTTGAGAGAATTCATTCACCATCAAGTCAGTGAAGCCACTTGATTAACCATAGCTGCCATTTCAAATAATCGAAATTTACAAGTTCTTCATCTGTATCTACATCACTAAATCATCTGAATTTGATAATTTATAAAACTAATGGCTTCCTACATCAGTATCAGAGCCTTTACTGAAGATATTGAAGCTTTCATAGTTGTGATTCTAATCATGAAAACTGGAGCAAGTACTGAATGATATGACCCATTTTGGAGACATTTATGACCTACTTACTTTTAATAGCAGATTTTGACCAGAACATAAACAGTGACCAGTGATCTGACATAAAGGTCATTCACACCAATGAATGTAGTATCTAATAAAGGGGTTCTCCTCAAAGGTGGTGCTAGGAAAACCTGCTCAAAATGGCTGCTGTTTACAGAGGCATCAAAATATATATGCGAAGCAGCGGTAGAGGCGTCAAAAGGTGCTTGTATGAGATAAAGGGCTAAAGAGGTGTAATTTCACGATTTACATATGACTTTGTTGGATTGCTTACATCTCTGAAAAACAGTAATGGCAATGGTCTTGTTTAAATATGATTTGGAAGAATGAGTTGGTAAAAATGATCAACAAAGCAAAGTTGATATCTAGTAATGTTAGGAATAAATAAGGAAGTACAATTTGCACTGCGCAAAAACTGTCCTGCACACTATTAATAGTATCTGTTACCTGGCAAGTACCCCATGAATTATTGAAGTGTTTATTTACCTTTATTTTAATGCAAAAATATATGTAAAAACAATCATAGTAATTTATAAGTTTACTGATGTAGTAAATGAGCATGAGTTGGTCACTGCTGTGTACAGAATGCAAACTTGACAATTATGTCTTGACCTTTAAAAAAATGTCTATAAGAGTTGCAATACCAATAATTCTATAACTTTTAAATGCATATAAACCTTGGAACATCAAAAACATAAAACTGCTATTATTAGACATGTCAACCATAAACAGACCTCAGCAAAGCAGTCAATATGACATGACTCCATTTTTTAGTATGGTAAGAATCATGTACTGATATAGTTGACTTGATAATGCATGCATTTTAAGTTTAAAAAATAGTCTCATACAGCAAAAATAGCATTTTGTGAACTTGAATGTTTGTAAATGATACTTCAACCTTATTGTTCTCTAGTTCAGCTTCTAAGAGACTTTTGCTGAAGAATGTTTAAAGCAAAGTTTGTGCAAGAATAAATGTCTATCAATTTAAAAAGTGAATGAACTGAATAACTATTCATTTTTGCTTATGTCCTACATAACTAATTAACACCTGGACATTTCCTTCGTAATAGATTACTCTAACTTTTCCATTTTCGGACCTTTTCAGACAAAATTTTTAACAGTCACCTACCAGTGCTGCTAATGTACATAAACCAAATTTTGTAAGAAAATCTTTTGCTTTAAAGAAACTGACTTTCTAATTTGAGCAGAGGAACACAGATAATAGGTACACTACATCACTCGTGACAAGATGCACGTGGGTAGGGCAAAAATTTTCTTTCAACTTTATATAGCTTTAAATCATACATGCATAAATTTTCTTGAATTTGAACAGATGACTACCTGGGAAGTAGAAGATGGTGCTTCAGCTGTTACTGTTTCCTTTTTGCTTCATGGTCACCAAAGGAGAAGTGTCTATGTACACTCTAAAAGCAAAAAGATATACAAAATAATTAAATGTTCCATTTAAATAAGTCATCACTTATCAACTGTTTAAATAAATTATTTCATGTCAGTTTTACAGCCAGGCAGCCTCTACAACTTAAAAACGACAAAAATACCTCAAAGGATCTGAAATTACAGTGGCCAAAGGAATGCTGCTGCTGTTGTAGGATTTCACACTATTTTCTGCACAAGATAGGCTATACATGATGGCCAATATAAATGGAAGAGGAAGAACCTGGGAAAACCCCAGAAAGAACCACCAATTTATTATAAGCTACTGGCAAGCTTTCTCACATACTTGCATTGACTGAACCTGAGACTCAACCCCAAGCAGACAGAGGTGATATGGCAATAATCCACAATGGTGACTGCTTTAGACCACTCCCCTAAAGGAATGCATAATATCAAAAATGAAGTAAATGTGTTCCCCTAACTGTAATCTTTTTAACTGCTGAGTAATGATATTTGAGAAATTCCTACATCCCAAATGTTATTTTAAAGGAGATCCTCTTTATATATTAAAGCCCCAAGGTCATCATTTATTATAAATGTCACAATTCTTATATTCTACGGTTTGGAGGAAGGAAATGATTTGTGAAAAAAGTTATAAAACATAAAAACTGTTCTTTGAAATACTCAAGATAAGTTTCAACGGTGTTCAAATATTCACTTTAGAATTAAGAGATGCCACTCTTAAATAATTCTGTATATGAAGTCCCTACTAATTTATATCTTCTTCCAGAGTCCTCCAATGTAGTGATGTGATATATTTGACAAATTCCATAAATGACTTATCGATCACACAAATTGATTCAAGAGATAATGAAGTGAGGCAGGCCCATTTTTTTAAGTGGATCTAAGAAGAAAACGTGTACATTAGCAGGGGTCAAGCTAGACTTAAATTATAGGGAGAAGTGATTTCTCCTTTTGGTCAGAAGAGGGAAAAGTGGGAGCTAAACCAGGAGAAGTGGAAGCTAAATCAGGAGAAGTGAGACCAAAGCAAAGGTTTCTGGGCTTCCATTGTTTTCCAGTCAACTGAAATATTGACCAACAAAACTTTTTGGTCCATTTGCTTGTGTGAGAATAAGAATTTACAAGGAAAAGGATAAATTTGTGTGAAATTAATATACTTACATTGCTGCCTTTATCCTGGTGGAATCAAAATTTGACACCAGCAAATGGACTCAATTTCATGTTCTGCTGACATACATATGAATTTGTTGAAAAACAATGGTAGCTGAAGTGGGCTCATGGTCATTCCGTACCCAAGCTGTTTCGTACCCAGTGGAAATTGGTTGTTTTGTACCCAAGGTGATGGAACTACTCCAGTGGCTTAGTGGTTAGAGAGTCCACCTCGGATGCGAAAGGTCATGGGTTCGATCCCTGGCAGAGTCATACCAAAGACTTATAAAAATGGTACTAACAGCTGCCTTGCTAGGCGCTCAGCAGGCAAAGATTAGTGTTAGGACTGGTCTGCCTGGTGTCAGGATAATGTGACTGGGTGCCTCACTGCAGACATCATAGCCTTATGACTAAAAAATTGCTATAACTAGGTTCAAAATCTAAATCTCACACACAGAACCAAGGTGCTGGTCGTTTCATAGAGGTCATGGTTGTTTCGTACCCATTAATTTACAAGGTCAGGTATACATTATTGTCATATTTACGGCTCACCATCTATGCTTAATCTTTTTCCTACCTTAAAAAATTGCAGGAGCAAAGCATATCCCGGCAATAAATTGAACTAACACCAATAATTACAATTGTCTTGTTTTCACTGTAATAGCATATATGTTCTAAAAAGAAATTTTAAAAAATTTCTGTTGCCAAAAAAAAAAATGTTGGACAGGCCTAATAACAAAATAAATCAATTCTTTTTTCTATCATTCAAATTAACAAACATTATACTACTTCTTGGTATTATTAAGTAATGTCTATTATGACTTTAAAAAATACAAATACTCTCAAAACAACTAAAAATTCTGCAATCTTTCAATAATAGGTTGATGGGGTTGAAAGCAGATAAAACAGTGTTGCTTGATAAAGATTCTATGCTCCAAGGACCAATGCATTAACATGTCAAACATATGCTGGGCTGCATATCTTGAGCTGAGACACATCAGCTCCATTCACAAGTATCTATCAGTTAATGCCACAAAGACACTTGTGTGTTCCTTAGTACTTTCAAAACTGGACTAATGTAATTCAATTCTGTCTGGTTCATCTCAATACCTACTTCAGAAACTTCATCTCAATATCTACTTCAGAAACTTCAAAAAGTTCAAAACACAGCTGCTCGAATCATACTTTGAGTACCACGATTCAGAGCATGCCACTCCGATGCTCTGTACCCACATTGGCTATCCACATGATCCAGAATTAAACACAAAATTTGTTCTCTGCTGTTTCACTGACAAGCTCCAGTCCAACATACCTATCTGACCTGTATACACCTGTAAGATGACACTCGAATTCTCAATATTCCAACTATGAAGTTGAAATCATATGGACAACATTCTTTTGCATATCAGGGCCCATTGCACTTAAACACAAATTCAAGAGTGCCCTTAAAACCCATCTATTTCAAATGCAACAGTCATAATGACTTAATAATGTATTCTTTCAAACATATCCTTACCTTAAAAATCTACAGCATGTTTTCTGTTTCTAATTTTGTGGTGTTTGTTTTTAATTTTTGTATTCATTTCATTATATATGGGTTTTTTTTCATATTTAGTTTTCATTTAAGCATTGTCATATGTTGTAAAGCGCTTATAGCTTCTAAAGATTAGGCGCTATATCAAGTCCTTATTATTATTATTATTAATACTGGTGTTAATTTCAATTTTTGTTGCCTGCTTTTAAAGGTGTTGAGTGTGATGCACTATATGGACCGCCAAGCCACTTTTTGGTGGGCTCAGTCATTAGCATATTTGTGCAAATATTTGGACTTGTTCACCAATCTCAAGACACTAACAAATTAGTGGCATAATTGAAATTCTCTGTTCTCAACGAAGTATAAATATTAACAATTTTTGATGGAAAGGGACAATGTTTATTTCATAATGTGATTTATTTTTTATCCTAAATATAACGCACATAAATAATCAGAGATTTAACTTGGCACTGCATTTTAGATATATTCACTTCTGTTTTAAAAATGATGTATTTAAATATCTAAATAATTAAAGAAATGTATGCTTTAATTCTGCCAATATTGAAATGTTTATAATACAGGATTCTATGTACTATGTACACCATATATATATATATTTCAGAATAGACAGTAAAAATTACAATCCAGTGAATGAAGGAGACTTATCAGAAAGCAGAATAAGCACAAACAGGTTTCTTAAATAACAAATGACTAACAACATTATTTTAAATTATACATTCCTGAGTTTTATTACATTTATGTTGAAAACATAATTACATTATGCAGGGAGACATGCTACAGGTGAAAAAGTCACCAGAGAAGAGTAAACTTTGACTTCTGTTATGAAAGTTAAAATGACTTTGCCCTCTGATTTTTTGGACATATAATGACTATAGATTATGACTTTGAGATGCCCCCTCCCTGTAGCCAGGAAGTTCTGTCACTGTTGTAACCCAAGGTGAAATGTATTTACATGGTGTTGATACTAATCAGCTTATGACCAGGACATAGTTATTCTTGGTCACAGTAATGGATTTGCTTTTAAAGATATGATTAGTGAAGAGCATTTTCTAATTTATTTCTTTATTTTTAATAGAGATTTTAACAACTGTATTTGCCTATTATCTGTATAAAATCAGTTTGAAACTTTTAATGAACTTGTAATGGTGGACATCGCTGCCTATATGATTTACCACTTCATTAAACTGTGACAATATGAAAAAAATATATATAGTAATGAAGCAAATAATATTTAACCAATGCATGTTGTTATTACCAGTAGGTAGACAAATCATAAATATGCAGTCCTATTAATGGATATTTGTAACAAAGCAAGAAAGTGATTAGTTATGAGAAATGCCCTCATAGATAAAAATAGATGCACTCCACTGTGGGAGATGATTTCTTGGATTTTCGGTTGGGGGGGAAAAGGGTCCAGTTTAGTTATATATCAACTTTTGTGTTCTGGTGTGTTGTCTATGAATAGTTATAGTAATGTTTTATCAGGAACAATGAAATATGGATGAACATTTTGTTTTGTAGTTACTTGTGCTTTTATTCCTATATACATGTACTAGGTGCTGTTTCAAATAATGCTAGAAATCTTTTGACTGCAATTTTACACAAAACTTATAGAAAATAAAATATTTAAGTGGTAGTTTATTAAGCATTTTTACCAAACTGCATTTACAAGACTCGAATCTTGTTACTGCTCACTCTAAAAATTAATTACAATGTATAGCTTTTGATGTGCCTTTTAAGTCATACAGCCAAAACAAACTGCATTTACTTCAATTCAAACAAACATACTACAAGTATGAATAGAATGGGTATGAATATAAAATTTAATATGCATACAAAATATGTAAATTTCAGGGTTCCTGCAGACTTAACAAAAGCAAATTCCATGACTTTTCCAAAACTTTTCCAGAGCCATTTCATAAGACTCAATGACCGCACTATCTTGCATTGTCAAGTAAATGAACATAAAGAATGACATCTTTCAATCTAAAATAACAAATAAGTTAACAACAAATACTTTTAATATGTACATTTTAAATTTACCTGGGCTAGCACACTTTGACTTTATGTAGTACTTCATGTCATAATCCAATGATCAATGTAATTTGTATTCAAAAGAAAAAAAGGAAACAATTCTATGTAGTCTTTGTATGTGTTCCTATTTACAATATTAACAAAACATTACTTTCCAGTTGCTTTCTTTTATTTAGTGAACTATAACGGAAATCATGTGATACTTCTGTTAAGGGAACTTACTTTTGTTATTTGAATTGAAACCAATTATCGATTGTAATTTTATCATTTTATTTAATTGGTTCTCGGTGCTCTATGAAATTTGAAGTAATCAACTCCATTATCACAAATTCCATGACTTTTCCAAAACTTTGCAAGGTTTTGACAAATTCCATATCTTTTCAAGGCCCTTGAAATTTATTTTTTAAATTCCAAAACTTTTCCAGGATTCCATGACCTGCAGGAACCCTGTATGTTGATACTCACATATAACACACATTTGTCAATCTGAAAATATGGCATTGCTTAAAACTGTTAAAAGCATACTGAGAAATAGAGCACATCATTAAAATAAGATAGTAATGCTTTTCTCTTTCTACTCTCTCTGTCATATGCATATATTAAGATTAAAGCGGATAACATATGAATCATGTACTTTGCAATCATTGAGTGATAGAAAAATAATTAATACTAAGCTATAATTTAAAATTAAACCTTTTGAAAGTAGGTGTTTCAAATTTGAACAAAATAATGAGGATACTTTTCAACCTTAAAATAAACATTTTCTATAACACTTTTAGGTAATTTTGTCATAGTCTCTTATGATGTGTGAATTTGTGTGTAGGGATTTATGCCAATGAGACACTGGTACACTGTCCAAACTGCGGGATATTTTCATTAACATCAAAAACACATTTTTGCATTAATTACTCCTTGCCTTTATAAGAATTCTTCAAATCTGTACAGAATACAGAAAAGTGATGTCTTGTTCTTCTTTAGCAATCATTTCTCTCAAGAGAGTAAATACTCTTTATACGTTTGATCATTTCTTTTGTTTTTTGTTCATGTGTCTGCATATTAAATAATTTGTAATGTGTAAAGAGTGTATAGTGTGACCATTCTCTTAAAGTATGCCATAACAAGGCATTTTTTTTTCAATTATGCCAGTCAAACCTTCTTATCTGTAACTGTTCTGGTGGCTTAGTGGTTAGAGTGTCCACCTTGGATGTGGGAGGTCATAGGTTTGGTCCCCGGTCGAGTCATACCAAAGACTTACAGAAATGGTACTAACAGCTGCCTCACTATATGCTCAGCATTAAGATGTTAGTGTTATGACTGGTAGGCCTGGTGTCAGAATAATGTGACTGGGTGGGACATCATGCTACATGTCTGCAGCATAATGCCCCAGTGCTGGACATCACTATAAACGGATACACTGCAGACATCGTAGTGATAGGACTGAAATTTTTTAAATTTTTTTATGTTAAAAATCATAATCACATCACATCACACTTTATTCTTATATGTTGGAATACTTCGTGCCATACCTGCAAGATGACCAAACTCTGTTTGGATAAAACAAAGGCTTGTAAACCAGACAAAGTAAATGGGATCGTTGGATATAAATTAAATTTATTTAAATTAAAGACATAAAAACAAATCTCCCAAAACAATAACTGTATAATAAAAAAAGCAAGTACAGCAA